TTCTATGGCTGCAATATATTAGATTGCGCCTATGTTCTGAAACAAACATAGAAGGTACAAAAGCTTTTACCGTGGTCAAGATGTAATATGGAATTGTAACTTACTGCAGAAACAACATAACAGATCAAATCCTTGATTACCTTCTCCTCCGAGTCTCCTGGCTGACAGGTGATAACACCATCTCTTGAGCCCCCAGCGAATGTTGCCTTGCAGTTTGCCAGCCACTGTAATTTGGAAAGAAAAACAGATGTATAAAGTTATTTGAAGCCAGTGTGGTGTAATGGTTTGAGTGCTGGACTAGGACCTGGGAGATCAGGGTTCAAATCCCCACTCAGCCACGAAGCTCACTTGGGTGACCTTGGGCTAGTTACCACCCCTTAGCCGAACCTACCTCACAGGGTTGTTGTGAGGATGAAACAGGGAGGAGGAGAACCTTGAGGTCCTTGGAAGATAAAGGTGGGATAAGGTAAAGGGACCCCTGACCGTTAAGTCCAGTCACGGATGACTCTGGGGTTGCGGCACTCATCTCGCTTTACAGGCCGAGGGAGCCGGCATTTGTCCACAGACAGATTCCAGGTCACGTGGCCAGCATGACCTCTGGTGAACCAGAGCAGTGCACAGAAACGCCGTTTACCTTCCCACCGGAGCGGTACCTATTTATCTACTTGCACTTTGACGTACTTTCAAACTGCTAGGTTGGCAGGAGCTGGGATTAAGCAACGGGAGCTCACCCCGTTGCGGGGATTCGAACCACCGACCTTCTGATCAGCAAGCCCTAGGCTCTGTGGTTTAGACCAGAGCGCCACCCGCGTCCTTTAAAGGTGGGATATAAATGTAATAAATAATAACCCGATGGCCAGTGAATATGAAAATAGTTTTGGTTGTGTATTAGGGTACATTTAGATACAGTGCTACACCTTTTATAATGAATACAATAAATATTTCCTGGAATACTTGTCCCATATTGAGAAATATCTTGGGTGCATGTAATCTGCCATCATTGTGGATTGGCGCTCCACCTGGTGGTTGAAGGGAAAAATCGCTGCTCAGACAACAAGTTCAGGCTTGGGGTTCTCCCATGAGCCCTCAGTTTTTATTTTACCTTCGCAGATGTGGTTGATTCTCAGAAGCTTTCTCCTTCTTACAGACTTGTTTCCCCTTGTCTGCATCTGACTTTTTGTGTGCTTGTTAGCCCTATTCACAGTCCTCTGTCTTCTTTCTTTATTAAAGTTAAAAAGAGTTCCTCCTTTCTCTGTTGTCTGTCTGTGTTAAGGAGATGTCATGGCGCTCACTGGATGTAGGTAGGGTGTTAAAACAGTATGTTTCTAGAACTAAGTCACTCTGCTTCTCTATGTGTGTCCTTCCACCCCTCTTCCCTTGGGAAGAAGGTGCCTATGCTTATATTAGCTTGTTGGCTTGAAGCCTGCATTTTTCTGGTGTGAACTCATCTCCATCGTCCAGCCCTACCACCAGGTGCTGTTCCAGTCCCACAATGGCGGCAGATTTACATACACACAGATACTGTATCCCCTTCACAGATAAGGCCAATACTGAAGTCTTGAATGAAAACAGATTAAAATGTATCTAATGACCATTTCAGATTCAAGCACATTTACTCAGATGAAAGTTCAACGATGCCTGTTCCCTAATAAATGTGTTTAGAATTGCAGGCCAGATTTATTTTGAGTTTTGTCCAATCAGATATATAGTCTAAAAACAGAAATAGAAGATATAGAGATGTAGTACTGTAAATAATCCAGTATTTTTCTCTAAAGGTAAAGTCACTGAATGAGCCTCTTGCAGATTTGAAATGAATTAGTAACTTTTTGCATTAAGGAATACAGAAATAGATAAAGCCATTACACCCAAAAATGATGCTTACCGAAAGTGTTGCCTCTTTCCTGTTGTTATATGTGTCCAAATATTCTTGTAGTTCTAAGACACTGAACTTTAATTTCTCAAGAAGTCCACAAGAGAGAAGCTAGAAACATTAAAATAACGATCCTATAGTCAACATTACTTCATTCAGTATAACTGTTTTGCTATATACCAAAATCAATGGGGAAGATCCCACATGACAGTCCCTGGAGAGTTGCTAGACATTTGCAAGGCCTGGGTTGTACACCTTCATGACTGAACTTGTGGGAGATGATTGTTGAAGCTACTGTATTATTATACATTAGAGATCATATTATGCTATCATAAAAAGGCATAATTGCTTGGATAAACCAACAATGGAGGCAAGGAAAGCATAATTTAGTGTACAAATTATTCAAATTAAATATATTTTAATGTATTTGCTTATTTTGAAGAATTGTGCTTCTGCTGATCATGGAGAGGCATAAATAGCTATTTACAGCAATGGCAACCCTTTCATAAACAGTTACCAAACACCAGCTTTCGACATTTTACCAAATGTTGCCCAAATGCTTTCAAGCCTGTCTTCAAAATTATGAGGTATAGAAACCTGCTTTGGTTTAATTTTGGTTAATGAAAGAATTCCGCACTCATAACTCAGTTATTAGCACTGTCTATTTACAGACTCTCCTAATCTATAACCACCCAGCGTGATGAAGAAGAGCTGCAGCAGTTGGTTAGAATGTAACAAATACCTAATGTCTCCTATTATGTCTCAATACTTGTTTCCAGACAGGTCTATCAAGAAAAGATACAATCCGCTTCCGAGTCTTCACTACTCTGATAGTTTTATGAATGGCACTTCAATGTGGTTAGTCTTGCAAAAAATACTCACTGTTTCAGCATCTACAAAAAGGGTAGGACATTCTGAACATGATGTCAGCATCTGTGATGAGCTCACAAACTTCGAGCCTATTCCTCGCAAATTGTCACCAAGGTAGCTGGCAGCATCGCAAGTTAGAAAGCAGAATCTTTTCTGAATATTCTATAAAGCAAAAGTATGCATAACACATTTGCTACTGAACTTAATGATAGAACTTAATGTACATTTTAATTTGGTATACACAACTACTGCATTCATTCTTCATGTATACTGCAGAGGGGGAAACACACACACACACACACACACACACACACACACACACACACAAAATCTGTAGCTCTCTGTCCTGCTTTCTTGTTTTGTAATCCCCCTTCACTCCCTTCTTGTTAGACCGAACCTGTTACAGCATTGGCTCATTCTGTTTTGTCACTAGTAACAACCAAAATGAGACTTCTCTGCCCATTCTGGGCATTGTTTTGTTAATACTCAATGTCAAGTGGTCTATCAAACAATGTAATGAGTGTTCTGATGCCAAGTTTACAGGAGGGGAAATCATGAGAGAGACTTCTTTGTGTTTGTTTTCCCCTCTGGCCAGAACTGCTTGGCAAGGGTGCCTGGGCCGCTTGAGAGTGTGCCAACATACTGAACTGCATCTGGAAACTATTGCACACCAAGACTCTTTTCCTGCCTCCCTAGCTGATAGAGAGATTTCTGTAAATAGCTTTCTAAATGGTTTCTAAACAGTTTTCTGCTGTAAACTACAGAGTTACTTTTAAGGACTGCTCAAGCCATGTAGGAACCAAAACATACTATGGTTTTATTTAGAGCGTCTGAGAAACTGGAAACATTTGATAACATCCTCACTCTTATCTTGAAAACTGTTGTGGGAACATGGGTATTAAAGCAGTAGCATCATGGCGTGCCAGTACCACCCAGAAAGCAGCTTACATCAGACAGCAGAAGAGCTAAAAGGAAAAAGTGATTGCCTTATCACTAAACCTTTCTAATGCCTCTCCTACTTAACAAAGCAATTTAAAAAAACCTACACTGGAATCTGTGGGTGCAATGGCAAAGTTGCACTTATATCTACAACCCTACACCAGAAACCTCCAGGCATAGATTCCTTGGGACAAGTACCTTGGTGGCTCAGTAAAGAAAGAAGGGCACATATTGAGGGTTAAGAGGGGAAGAGATAACTCAGGGAGGGCGATTTTAATCTTCCTTAATCCAAAACAAAGTACCAGCAACCCAGCATAATGGGCCACCTTCCCTCTTTGACCTTACCAAGTGTGCCTCTTTGGACCAATGTCTACCTACCATCAAACCCACTGCAATAATAAATAACACTTATTATACTTTTGCTTGATGGCACACAGCAAGATCTGGAAAATTAAAACCTCCTGCCCCCCAATAAATGTTGATGGGCTGTGGGAAATAATCAGGGTGTAGATTTATCGACACCTGCAAAGTCTAAGAAACATATTGTGGGTTTCAGCAAAATGTCAGTCATGTGGGATTCTGGAACACTTTTTCTTTACCTTAAACAGGGAGGAGAACACATGAAATGTATATACTGCACAGGAGCCATCCGCGTCACACATGAGCTGGTTCATATGGCTACGCCAAGCTTCCTCTGCATCATCACATGCAGCTGGTTGAAATGCAGCCAGGATAGCAGAAAAGAAGGGAGACGGAGGAGGCGAGACATTCCTGTCGCCTTCTCCAAAACTGAAACAAAGCCACAAATTCTAGGTTAAGAGCCGATAGCGAGGATACGCTACTGTTGTTGTAGTTCCAAATAAGAAACTCAAAAGTAAATAAGTAAAAAGAAGAGTTAAGTGAGGCTACATGCCATTTTGTGCCCATGCCTACGCCCTCTTAATGAGGACAGAGTGTAAAGGATCTGATGACCTGATTTGACCCTATCCTCAAATTCAGGACTGCCATGTAACTACATGTATTCTGTGCTGAGAATTTCCTGTTCAATGTCACATAGTAGGCATACCTTTATAGGTTAAAGCACTGACTCCATATATTTAACAATAATTGCTTTATCTTGCAGCTCTCGGTTTTATTGTTAAGAAACTGATTTTAGTCAACTGAACTGCCTCACTGTGTTTTATGGAATTTATTATTATTTTTATTTCACCACTTCATTTTATTTTTTTAAAAAAGCAGGATATAAAAAGTTAAAATAAAAAAATACATACATACCTGGTAAGTGCATATTGATCCATCAACCGGTCACCTTTTTCTTCAGTCTCTGTCATATCTAGGCTAAAGCTGTCGCTGTATTCAAAAGCTGCAGGGAGTTCATTTGTAGAGCCGGAGAGATCATCTTCCTGTACAGAGGTATCTTCCTCTTCTTGGGCACCTTCAGTCTGGGGGGGATTGAACTGGTTACCATTTATTGTTATCCTGCCCTTCATCACTTTCATGATCCAATAACGGGTAACAATAATTTAAAAACTATAATAAAATTGTAAACAAGCTATCTGCAGTAAAACACACCATAAACAACAAAGAACTACCATTATCAGAACCTACCAAAACAAAAAGTACAGGAAATACCAAATGTATTACAACAGGTACATGCAGTAAAATATATCTCATCACTTTCTGCTGAAAGCTTAAGAGAAGTTCCATTTGCTTGTTTTATACACCTTGTGCACAAGATGAGGGTTTTGTTACTTAGTTCTTTGCTACTCCAGAGACCCTGTTCAGATTATATTTCCTCCTCATATAGTATTCAGGAAGAGTTTGAGAACAGATCCCAGGTAAAAATATCCTACCCACCCAGAGAAGTGAATAAATGGATCAGAAGATTAAGCTATGAATACTCTAATTTAGAGACCAATGTAGGTTTATTATGGGTGGCTCTTTTTGTGGTCTCTAAGACTACAGAATTATTGATCCCTGTGGGTGTGGTTTAGGGTCAATCTGCATAGCAGTTGGATGGACCTTCAGGAGGACACACACTCTGTTTACATTCTCAAGAACACTAGCCTTTATTTGCATCTGGTAGCATAGTAACTCCCGAGGAATGAACTGAAAATCTAAGGTAGATATCTGAATTTCTGATGTTCATTAATATCTACAGGAAGTTTTGGGTCAGCAGGACCATTTATCAATTCCTCTTTATGGCCACTTCCTGATTGTTATCAGCAACATTACTGGGCCCAGGAATTGGCTCTCTAAGGAGAACCCTAAGCCTGGCCCTAGCAAGGGTTGTATAGTGGCAGCTAGATAGTTATCAATTGGGTCCCAAACCAGGGCACATGTTTCCCCAAGTCTTGAGTAAAACTACAGGAAGGGAGACTAAGGTAAGTCGGGTGCTTTGCCACTAGATCTGGACTTCTAGCCTGGTCCATTGCTGCCTTTGCTCATGGGGATGTGTGTGCGTGTGAGAGAGGGAGAGACAACAGGATAGGGACCTGGGCCAGGGTGGAAGTCATGTGGTTTCCTGGTTCCTTGGGTGAGTATGTTGATGGAGTGTGAGGACTGTGGGTTCCCTGCACTCCCCCTTTGTACTAGAGACCACTACAGAGTCCAGCACTTCCTAGATGCAGGGTCCCATTTAAAGCACATGGCTTCCCCCAAAGAATCATGGGAACTGTAGTTTGTTAACAGTGCTCGGAACTGCAGCTCTGTGTAGTGCCCAGGATTCTCAGGGGACGATGACCATGTGCTTCAAACGCATGTGGCATGGATGTGACCAGTTTCCGCAGAGGTTCATTGGGTTCTGCTCCCCAACCACAGCCTGCTGAGATGTACTGCAGGACACCCCAAGTTTCTTTTGAGTTTCAGATTCCAGAAACTCCACTATACATATGGAACTCACCACATGGCTGTTGGATCCTGCCTGAACAACCCCGATGCAACACAAGACTTAAAGAGTGAAATGCTTTTTGCATACAGTGAAAATGAAACTTAGCGGAATGTGGCAAAACCGAACTACCTACTTCTCTGAGACGATTTCTACTGCCATTACTGATAGGTTACACTTCATGTGCAGCGACGAGTGCTTTCTCCCATAGCGCCACCCATTTTTTGTTTCTGCTTTTCCCCCCCTAACCCTGCGGCATCATAACATGCCTGCAGAATAAAGCAATAGTGCTGACACTTCACTGCCGCAGTGGTCAAAATGTCCCATAAAGGTAAAGGTAAAGGTACCCCTGCCCGAACGGGCCAGTCTTGACAGACTCTGGGGTTTGTGCGCCCATCTCACTCTATCGGCCGTGGGCCAGCGCTGTCCGGAGACACTTCCGGGTCACGTGGCCAGCGTGACATCGCTGCTCTGGCTAGCCAGAGCTGCACACGGAAACGCCGTTTACCTTCCCGCTGGTAAGCGGTCCCTATTTATCTACTTGCACCCGGGGGTGCTTTCGAACTGCTAGGTTGGCAGGCGCTGGGACCGAGCAGCGGGAGCGCACCCCGCCGCGGGGATTCGAACCGCCGACCTTTCGATCGGCAAGCCCTAGACGCTGAGGCTTTTACCCACAGCGCCACCCGCGTCCCCAAAATGTCCCATACAAAGCACTTATTTAACGCGGTAGGGTTCTGCCTGCCTCATGACTTACCAGCTCTGTCAATATTTCTCAAGTAGAAGCATTTCCCAAAAAAGTAAGCTACAGAAACAAATACATGGTATTTCTATTAAACTTTTACCAACCTTTGATAACTGTGTCCCCGGCATGCTTTGTTTCAGGCAGCTACACAGAGCAGCATTTACATTCTTTTATTTACCAAACTCAGTGCATTACTGTAATCAGCATTCTGAAAGTAGACCAAACAGGCAAGAATGGAGCCCAAGGCAGGCAGCTGCACAACACAGCGCCCACATTTTTTGCAGGGAGGGGGGAGAATGGAATTCATGCTTCCACCCACAGGACTATTTTTTATTTTTATTTTTTTGGTACTGCTGTATAAAGTTGGTGGAAGGGTGATGCTGGCAATTCTGAAGGCTGAGAAACTCGTACATTTTAATCGACACTAATTATAGCTGGACATGCCGAATCAAAGTGTACAATCTAATGTAAAGCAATAGAATTGGATATTTGAACCGACAAACACCATATCCCGAACCACCGCTCCCCCTCTATTTAATAAAATTGCTTAGATAAAATTCATTCACCTTTGAGCCTTCAGACACCTGGAGATTATTCATTTCAGGCAAAGAAGCATTAAAACTGGACGTTCTTGAACTGAAAGGAGGTGGAGCTGTTGAAGATGCTTCACATGGTGTGGAAAGAGAGTCAATGTGGTTTGTGTCCTCAGAAGGGGAAAGTGTCATGATCTGTTAAAAGAAGGAACAAGGCTAAGGCTAAAGGCAGGGTGGAATTCCTCCTGAGGAAGCGACACTGAAATGAAACGGGAGCTTCACAAACCCTTGCATTGCTCATTTTCAGTGGAGTGTGCGCAAAGCAAATTGGTGTGGATTGTTGTCCAGCAAATGACACCATTTTTCTATGAAGAGCCTCTAAATAATAATACTGAAAATAATGTAATATTCTCCACTAGTAATCACTATACAGTTTAAGCTTGTGATTATATTAATTCCATTAAGCTTTCTGTGTATACTAAAATCTGTTTTAAAAAGCCTATTCCAGGTTATTGCTTTCCTTCCTTTTCAATGTTTTACAGAAAACAGAAGTTACATTATCAAATGGGGGGGGGGAGAGTTCAAGGGGGCCATTTAATTGAATGTGACATATAGTAACAAATGGAATAAAGACCCACTTATCCTATTTGATATTTTCTGTATGCAGAACTTGCCTCTAACAGTGCAATCCTATATATGTCTACTGAGAAGTAGGCTCAACTGGATCCAACGGAGCTTACTCCTGAATTGCTGCCTGAATCTTTTTATGTTTGCCAACTATGAAAAGAAAATTAAGAAGAACGTACTTACCTATGTAGGGTCTAACCCTTTCTGTGTTGCTAGCAATCAGTTTAAGTGTAAGAATCATGGATTTCTTTTCATACATTATATATATATAATGTATGAAATATATATAATATATATAATGTAATATATATATTTTCCAGCAACCTATAATTTAACTACTTACTAGTTGCGACTGTTCTAGAATTTGACTTGTTGTTAGGTCTTCCTCCTCCGATGACTCATCCGAATCTTCATGGTTTATTTTGTTTAGGCTGGGTGTACTTCCTGAAAGCTGGCTTTCTTCCAGAAGCTGCATATCACACTTGTCCAGACTATCAAGAGAACGCCTGCGTACTCCCCAGTTGAAATTGTCCATGCTTTCACCCTGCAATCACAGCATTGGTTTGTTTTCTCTGCCACAACAATTCTCCACCCCCCCAGCTTTATTTAGCAACATTTCATAAGGTCAGTAAGGATTTAAAGAAAGTTAGACTTTCAGCTGCAAAATTATTTTTCATATAAATTAACAATATATGAATTATAATAATCCAGAAAGATGAATAATCCAGAAAGGTGAAGCTACAGCAATTCCTAAAGGGAGCTGACAACATTGTGGTCAACAGATCCCTTCTTCACCACCCAAAAAGTCGCCTGCATGTCAACTTTTGATCTTCAATGGGGAGGTGCACTTTGAGTACCATGGGGCAGCTACACCCCCATTTAAAAGTAAACGGCACCATCCGCTGGACAGCATTTCTGTCCACTGAAATTATCGCAAACTGTTGGAACAGCAGCAAAATTGTTTTCATCGATTGCTGTTTTATGCATTATGTGTTTATGAAAAGAGCACAATAGCAAACCTCAGGCAAAATATTCCAGGTTTTCTATACGACACACATGAACACAATACTCAAGTGCAGAGTGAAGGCAGAGCTAACACTTTCAATTTAGCATGCACAATGCAAGGTGTCAAATCAGCAGAGCTTACGGTTTTAATCCCGCTTTTGCTTTACAGATTAGACATTAATTTCATAGGTACAATTTTTTTAAAAAAAAATTAAAACCATTTTATTTTTGACTTTAAAAAAAAAAAGACATGCTCTGTTTTATTCCTAGTTTAGGTTTTACAGCACAATCCTATACTTGTTTACTCAGAAGTCAGTTCCCCTATGTTCAGTGGAACTTACTCTTTAATAAGCATGCTTAGGATTGCAGCCGCAGCCACTGAGACATGTCTGATTCTGGAAATGAAGCCTGAGTATTCGTGGGACATTTTTGCCAGTCATATACTTACTAATAAAGCAACATTTAAGATATTGGCAGGTAGCACTGAAACAAATGTAGAAACCCAAATTTTAATGTTTCAGTAAAGATAGGGGCTGGTAAGACGATCTAACTATGACTTTCGCCACAAACTCCAATTCCTCAGGCATGTTTGGAAAGGAAAAATCTGGATTTTACCATAAAAAACTGACAGTTGTCATTATTGCATTTGCTCAAATGTAAACCTTTTACTTATTTGAGCATTTTAACAGTGGAGTAATGGAATGCAGGAAGCCCACAACTTATCTGGGGGGTTGCGTTCCAGAGATTGCACCTAACACCAAAATCACATATGGTCAAAACCCGTTAGGTGGGATTGCCAAAGTTATTTGCCCTGGACGCTCACCCCCTTTCTACTTATTATTATTTTTTACATTTGCCGTGTGTGTAAAGCTGAACGTACACATGTTAAACGTGTGTAAGTGAGGGGGACGCTCTCATCACTACCTGGAAATTTTGGGGACTGGACCTGGGAACCTTCTGCGTGCAAAGCGGAATTGCAGCCTTTCCCTATTCCTGTTAAATGTCTGGAATTGGCACAGAAATTTAAGCTGGCAGGATCTCTTAAGCATTACCATTAAAGACTTCAGTTTTATTCAGCAAGAATCAAGCTATGCAATTTTATGATTCTATATATAATTTGAACTCTCCCCCCCCCCCACAAATAGCTGGAATAAACACTTGTACATATATCCATATATACAGTATGTTTTTTAAAAAATTAAAAAACCTAGCCACAATGATATGTCACTTAGAACCTAGTCAAGGTTCAAAGATTGCAAAGAATGGGAAAAGCATATGAACAGGCGACTCCCATTCACCCTAGGCTTCTATGGGAGGCAAGGCAGAATATAAATTGAATAAGTAAAATAATAAATTTTCTTATAATGCAACATTATGGGCTTTCACCAATGATTTTTTGATTTCATGGCTCTCACTGTGAGCGAGATCTGTGAACCCCACCTTGAGATTTTATAGTAGACTTAACACTTGAATCAGTTCCTCGTTCTTTAGAACTATAAAACATTTCTAAAGCATAGCAAGAAGTGGAACCTCCGTTAAACACATAACACACACACACACACACACACGCTGAAAAAGCAGAATATATCACAAGATACAAACAAGGCATTACATCTACTAGCACATGTGAGTTCAAATAGCATTATCTTACCTGAAGTTCCTGAATAGCAGATATAACAAATAGGAAACAAATAAAGAAAAGTATTTGTAAACATACTTAATTTAAACACACTCTTTATAGACATTTGCCCTACAATCTAAATGAATGCTACTAAACTGATAAACTTATCCCTTCTTGTAACTTTACAGAAGCTTAAAAATAGCATGATACTGATTTCACAACCTAATTAAAAAATACTGAATCGTGGCATCTGGCGACTCTATGAACAATCTAATCAGCATTTATCTGTGCATGATATGAGCAACTGGAAAACAAGGTACGGAAAAACGGTATTAGCAGTTCCGAACACTGTTTAATTCCCATATATGTACAGGAAGTTCAGATCTACCACGTCTAAATTATTGGTCTATGAAGTCGCTGAAGCAGCAATCCTATACCAATTTACCTGGAAGGAAGAGCCATTGAACTCAATGGGACTTATTTCCATGGAGGATTGCACGGTGAAACAAATAGTCACCACTTCTGTCAAGCCGAAAGTTGCTTCTATGTTTTTAATTGTTTTAAAAGCTATTTGTTAAGGCATTTCAGGGCAAAGACGTTAAGATTCAATAACAGGAAACACGTTACAGCACTGCCTAATAATACTGCTATTGTTAAGAATGAATGTGTTTTTCCATTATATACTCCACTTTTGAAGGCTTTGTATCTTCAAAGCAATCATTCCAGCCTGGAGCTAGCCTGTTCCCTACATGTAAACTCTGAATACGGGTCACAAGAGTCAAACTTCCCATGTGAAACCTGGAGCGGTTGAGAGGTCCTGCGGTATTTCAGACACCGTACAGTTAACTAAGTCCCCAGTTTGAACTATCTAAGTAAAGGGGAAAGACCGTCTGCTATTTCCCTTCAGATTCCTGACAGACTAATTGCTATTCCTCCTGAAACTAGTGGGGTAAACAGCATTATATTTTTGAGAGAAAATTGGTGTATTTTAAAAAAAACAACTATCTTTATCTGTTTGCATAGCCTTATGGCATAATAATAATAATAATAATAATAAAAAATAATGCACAAAATGCATTCACAGAAATGGGATGGCCTGTTTATAACCCAGAGAACTGCACCAAAATGTACAGACAAGGTAGGTATAATGGCTCCTTTTGTCCATCTCACTCCTTTGTCTACAGCAGCAAACAAGGCTGTGTGTCTGAATACTGCAGATAATAGCCGAAGTGCATGTGCAAACACTGGCTGAAAAGCAACTGCAGCTCACTCAATTTCTTAACTATGGTTAAGAAATCAGCAGTATTCCAAACCCATATTAGGAGGCACAGTGGCCATACCTGCAAGTAACAATATTTATTATTTATTAAATTTCTACACCATCCTTCATCTGAGGATCACAGGACTGTTCACAATATATATTAAAAAAAACACAAAAATGCACAACATAGTAACAAACAAAAGCAATACCCCCCCTTTAAAAGGCCATAGATTATTTAATTAGTTAAAGGCCTCAGAGGAGAGGAATGTTTTCGCCTGGCAAGCCTTCCTGGACAAAGCATTGCAGAAAGGGCACGTAAAACAATAAACCATGGTTTGGTGCTACATGGATGAGTCTCAGCAAACACAAGCAAATTGCCAGACTCACACATCTCTTCCCCCCTTTCCTTTGGCCTAGTAGCTGGGCCGGGGTCCGGGGTGAGATTTCTGCCAAATTTAGTTCCACTTTTAAGGATTCTCAGATTAGCATTACTTACAAAGCAACCTCTGCTGCATTTCATAATATACCCAAACGAGGGGTTACAAAGCTGGCATACTAAACTACCAAAAAGGTAAAGGTAGAGATAAAGGACCCTTGACAGTTAAGTCCAGTCGTAGATGACTCTGGGGTTACAGCGCTCATCTCGCTTTACTGGCCGAGGGAGCTGGCGTTTGTCCGCAGTTTTTCTGGGTCATGTGGCCAGCAGGACTAAGCCGCTTCTGGAGAACCAGAGTAGTGCACGGAAACACCCTTTACCTTCCCGCCGGAGTGGTACCTATTTATCTACTTGCACTTTGACGTGCTTTCGAACTGCTAGGTTGGCAGGAGCAGGGACTGAGTAACGGGAGCTCACCCCGTCGCAGGGATTCGAACCGCCGACCTTCTGATCGGCAAGTCCTAGGCTCTGTGGTTTAACCCACAGCGCCACCCGTGCCCCTATTAGGTGGCATAGAAGTCAATAAATAATTTAGGATTCCTATAGCATGAGGTTCTACTTGTGCAATGGGCTCCCCAGAACCCGGGAGCAGATTTTGAGAGTGTGTGGGAAGTTGAAGGGAAGAGGAGAGGGAAGCCCTGTTGCATGAGCCAAACAGCAGCACCATAATTTCTACTACTCATAATTTGTACTACTCATTTGTGGCGACCAGTGTTTGCCTGTAGTACGACAAACCAATCCATAATTCCTCTTTAAAAGCTATTAAAAACTGGCTTCTTGAAAAGAGACAAAGTAGTCTCTTCAGGTGAAAGCAAGGGAAGTCTTACTTATAGCAAACCCCTTTGTCCACAGTGGAACATACTGCTGAGTCAACATGCACAGGATTTCACTACAAATGGATTTAATACCAGTCTGAGCACAGATTTTAAATTGTGCAAACCAAAGATCTATTCTCACACACTAAACTGAGTTAGTCACACAGGTTTTAAAGAGAATATATTAAAGAAAGCTAGGATAGCATTAGCTAGGTGGCAATTCTTTCTGATTTCCCCTCCGAAAGAAACAATACTTACTTTATTTCTCAGTTATATTTATATATTTTACTGCTGTCCTACTTACAACCTCTTCAAGCAAGTACCATGAAAAACCAGTGCTCCTCTGATAAGACATCTAGTATGCTGTTGCTCCTTGTATCATTTGCTAGCTCTATCTTAATAGAATTACTGGACTGGAGCTATTAAAGGGCTAATATAGGACAGCCTTATGGAGTTATCTCGACACCTTCCCCAGCAGCTTGCTATTCTTCAGTCCCCGAAGGAATTTACTTCTGGAGTGACTGGCTACTTATTTGAATTCTTTTTTTTTTTTTACTAGTTTAATTGCTGCTTATCCAGCTGTTGCCCCATTGTATCCATTTTGTATTGCAGCTGAGCCGCCTAATTGACTTTACTCATTAAGGTGCACTAAGGAGTTTCATCCACAGTCAGCCACAGCCCCACACCTCCAACTCATTTGAATGCAGCCCACAAGGCAGGTTGCCCAACTACAACACCTATCATCCCTGGCCGTTGGCCATATTTCCTGGAGCTGATGGGAGTTCTTGTTCAGCAGTATCTGGAAGGTCAAAGGGGATATATACACTCTTGCTGTTCTACTCCAAACTGCAGGGGAGGATTGCATTTTTAAAAGTTAAAATAAACAAATGCCCATGTATAGAAAGCTAGCCGTGTGAATTATTGTTGAACTGTCCCTGACACCACAGCAACCTCCATGTCAAGAAGCCAGATAAGCAACTCTGCCAGCTGTAACTGCCCAACAGATCACAGGTTGGCCTGGGACACACTCTAGGGCAGGGGTCGGCAAGGTTTATCTTGCCTGGGCCACATCGCGCCTGTGATTTCCGGCATCTGCACAGATGCAATTTCTGCTGCTGCCACTGTGATTTCCGGCGCTGCGGAAGCGAGTCCCCGCACTGTGCTAGTTTAGCACAGCGCGTGAATGGGTGGCTTGGTTCAGGGGCGGCTTGTGGGCTGGTCAAACGACCTCCGCAGGCTGCTTCCGGCCCATGGGCCTTAGGTTGGTGACCCCTGTTCTAGGGAATTTATCTTTCAGGTGTAAGGAAAAGAGGGAGGGTGGCATGCGAATGCCCTCGTGGATGAGAACGCCTGTCCAAAATTGCCCCTCTTTGCTTTCGGGCCCTGTTTCCCCTCCTCCTCACTTAACCGCCCTTTTCCCCACGGCGCAACGGATGTGGCAGCGCCTTGCCTCCTCCAGCCCCTAATGCTGACGTTTTCTCCAGTCAAACCGATATAATTATTCCCAGAGGGAGCAGATCTGCATTACCAGTAAAACGCCTTACCAAAAAAAGAAACAAAATGAAACAAAAGCAAGGCGTTCCAATACCCTTCAAGTATATGATGTAAGCTGGATAATATGCCCTCGCAGCAACTCCGGTCAAAGACAAACTGACAGGCTTTTACCTGCCAAGACCTGATTGCAGGCCCTCGGGCTTCTGTTTTTTGCCTACGAGAGCTGATGAGAATTGCTAACACCATAGAGTGGAGCAGAAAAAGGAACAGGGGCTTTTAAGTGCTGGGGATTTCATCGCGTTTGTGCTGCATAAACATCACATATGCACAAACACACATGCACGGGCCTATGCTTAGGTTTCGGGAGAGCACTGATGAAAGCATCTGATTATAAGGCTTGTGCAGTGTGTTCATTAAATTCAAAGCATGCATCCTGTTAATGATTGGGCATGTCAGACATTTGGCTGTACTGAATCTTTAAAATTTTAATGCACGGAAACTTTAGTATCAATACAAATCACTAAAACGTTCAGCCCTAGTCTTCTGTAGCATGCACTGAAGTGTGTATTGAGGGTTTGTTTTTGTTTTTTTTTTAAATGAAGCATATAAAGAGAAAAAAAGGTGTATGTTTAAGGAAGGGCATAGTAACCTGCCAAAAGTTAGGCTATCGCACTAACACTGTGTAAACATTTATCGTTGCTCAGCTAAGTCTTTGCTAGAATATAAAGAGGACATTATTTACTGTTGGGGAAGTGCTAAAATGTGGCTTAATCTTCAGTAAGAGCAAAGTTTGTTGAGAGAGAATGTACCATACCTCCCCGTCCTCCAGCTCCACATCGAGGAAATCGAAATCCCTAAAGACTCGGAACTGCTGCTCGCTGTTTGAATCGTCCATGTTCTCTTGCTCGCGGGCTCCGTCCTCGGAAGCCACCAGGCTCGTCTGGTGCTCAATCAGATCCAAATCTCCACATGAAGAAAAAATCACCTAAAAGTCAAGAGGGATTTTTCTATTAAAAACAAAACAAACTCTTCCTCTACGGCACTCTTTTGTTAGTCTAATGGGCTTTGCAGAAAGCTGTACACACCTAATTCCTTCAGTGGGTATTTTTAGAAGGCTCCTTTTTATTATTTATGTTGGACAGGTGCCTTCAGATTAAACTCATACTAAGACGCAACTATGAGCTGCAGGAACACGTCCAAGCTACCTCCTAATGGGTGCAGATTGATGCTTCCTTAGTAT